AAAGCTTGGGAGTAGCCATCTAGGATACAACTATTGGACTCTACTCATCTGCAGCAAAAGAGAAAGAAGGAAACCCAAGATGCAGAGAAGGAATTGGTCTATAGGACTAATTGTCTACATTAATCACTGCTTCTTTTACCCTGAGACAAGAAAAACTAGATGGTGCCTGGCTACCACTACTGAAATTTCTAATCGAGTCCACAATATATGGATCCTGATAGTAGGGGAGGAAAATGTGGAGCAGAACTTCAAATTCTCAAAAACTCCAGACTTACTGGACCCATTGAGACTGGAGGGCTCTCCAAAATTATTTCCCTGATATACACTTTAAACCTTGAACTGAAACTATCCCTTAATGTCACCTTTAGCTAAACTGCAGGTTAGCTTATAAAGTAAAAGAGTATCACCCATGAGAACTGTACTCTTTTAACAAATCATCTATATGAGACTAAATGGTCAACACTTACTCTAAAGCATAGATGAGAAGTTTGGGAGACAGTGAGACTAGGTTACTGGAAATGAAGCAACTAGAACAAAAATAATGAGAATGTTGACACAAGGTGAAGAATGTAATCAATGTCACTGAACAACATGTATAGAAATTATTGAATGGAAACCTGTTTTGCTGTGTACATTTCCACCTAAATACAATAAAATATTATTTAAAAAATTACTTTAGGCCATACACAAACATAAAAGTAATTCAATAAGAACTAAGGAGGTAAGAGAAGGAAGGTCTTTTGAGTTCAAATATTTAAGAGTTAAAGCTGCTAGGCTCAGGAAACTTGACTTGATTCCAGCAGCAGTCATAAGGCAGCATGAAAGTCCAGGACTGCTGTGTACAGATGTGCCATCCAGAGTTACAAATAGAGACTTGGGTATGGGTACCCACGTTTAACTCCTGAGATACTCTGTCTTTCCCTTGTAACTGAGTCCTCAGATATGTTCCTCTCTCAAATCTACTCCACATTCTCCAGGCTCAGACTTCACATGTTCTTTCCCTTGTTCCACACCAGACCTTCTCAATTGTCCCCAAGGAGAGAAACTTCTATACTTTTAATGGACTACACAGGAATCACAAGTAGGGACTTCTACTGAAAACTCTGCTCTGGGGACCCATGGAACAGGGATAGGGTAGAGTGGGATGGCTTGATGAACTGGAGCAGGGACTCTGTGGTGCACAACTCAGACAGGGCAGAAGAGAGCAAATGAGACTTCCTCCCCCAAGACCTTCACTACCTCAGGGGAATAGGTCTGTCTTCTTCACTTATCTGAACTTATATTTTCTGATTTTTTTCTTGTAGTTTAGATTAATGCATAAACAGGACTGTGGGTTTGGGGTACAAATGGTGGGAGGGGAGTACATTTCTCCAGACAACATATACCTCTAGCTATAGAATCCCAGTTAAAAAACAAAAACAAGAAAGATCTTGTAGGAACATAAAGATAAGTGCAGACTGGGAGATGTAGGGAAACCTGTGATGGATTAGAGAAGAAAAGGAGAGAGAAAGATCACAATGTCATGGCAGTGACAACAGTGTGTCGGGAATAAGGACAGTGGGACTCATTTCAGCATTCCCATGAGCTAGTTGAATATCTGTGGAAAGTTGATTTTAACCTTCTGCATTTTAACTTCATCATCTGTTAAAAGACGTGATGTTAACAGTGAGCTTGAACCTTATTCAGCTTTATATCCTCAATGTCTCACAGAGAGTGTCGCATATAGTAGTGTTATGGATTAACTTGTGTAAAAAATTTGTGTTGTTAATCCTAACCCCTATTCCTGTAGCTGTCAGTGATTGTATAATCACCATATACCTACAAGGAAGACGGGTTAATACGACTATTATTCAAATTTATGCACCAACCTCTAATGTCAAAGATGAGGGAGTTGAATGAAGATATTTACCAACTTCTGCAGCCTAAAATTGTTCAAACATGCAATCAAGATGCATTGATAATTACTGGCGATTGGTACATGAAAGTTGGAAACAAAGAAGAAACAGTAATTGGAAACCATAGGCTTGGTGATAGAAAGGGCCCCAGACATTGCATGATAGAATTTTGCAAGATGAACGACTTCTACATTGCAAATTCCTTTTTTCACCAACATAATTGCGACTATACACTAGGTCTTCAGCAGAAAAAATACACGGGAATCTAATGGACTACAGTTGTGGAAAGAGACAATGGAAAATCTTAATATCCTCAGTCAAATTAAGGCCAGGGATGACTGTGGAACAGACCATCAATTACTCATATGCAAGTTCAAGTTGAAGCTAAAGAAAATTAGAATAAGTTCAAGAGAGCCAAAGTATGACCTTGAATATATTCCACCTGAGTTTAGCAACCATCTCAAGAACAGATTTGACACATTGAACACTAATGACCAAATAATAGACCAGTTGTGGAATGACATCAAGGACATCATACATGAAGAAAGCAAGAGGTCATTAAAAAGACAGGAAAGACAGGAGAGACCAAAATGAATGTCAGAAGAGACTCTGAAACTTGCCCTTGAATGTAGAGTAGCTAAAGCAAATGGAAGAAATGATGACCTAAAAGAGCTGAACAGAAGATTTTAAAGTGTGACTTGAGAAGACAAAGTAAAGTATTACAGTGAAATGTGCAAACACCTAGAGTGAGAAAACCAAAAGGGAAGAACACTCTTGGCATTTCTCAAGCTGAAAAAGCTGAAGAGAAACTTCAAGCTTTGAGTTACAATATTGAAGGATTCTATGGGGGAAAATATTAACCAACCCAGGAAGCATCAAAAGTAGATGGAAAGAATACACAGAATCACTGTACCAAAAAGATTTGGTTGACATTTAAACACTTCAGCAAGTAGCATATGATCCGGAACTGATGGTACTGAAGGAAGAAGTCCAAGCTGCACTGAAGGCATTGAAATAAAAAAGGCTCCAGGAATTGATGGAATACCAATTAAGATGTTTCAACAAACAGATGTAACACTGGAAGAGATCACTCGTCTATGCCAAGAAATTTGTAAGACAACAAGCTGGCCAAACGACAGGAAGAGATCCATATTTGTACCCATTTGAAGAAAGGTGACCCAACAGAATGTGGAAATTATCTAACAATATCCTTAATATCACACACAAGTAAAACCTGGCTGAAGACCATTCAAAAATGGTTGCAACGGTACATCCACAGGGAACTGCCAGAAATTCAATTCAGATTCAGAAGAGCATGCAGAAGGAGGGATATCATTACTGATGTCAGATCGCTCTTGGTTGAAAGCAGAGGATACCAAAAGGATGTTTACCTGTGTTTTACTGGCTGGGCAAAGGCATTTGACTGTGTGGATCATAACAAATTATAGATAATGTTACCAAGAATGGGAATTCCAGAACAATTAATTGTGCTCATGTGAAACCTGTACATAAAACAAGAAGCAGTAGTTCAAACAGAACGAGGGGGTACGTAGTGCGTGGTTTAAAGTCAGGAAAGGTGTGTGTCAGGGTCATATCCTTTTACCATACTTATTCAATCTGTATGCTGAGCAAACAATTTGGGAACCCAGATTATATGAAGAGGAACGGGTCATCATTATTGGAGGAAGACTCAATAACAACCTGCATTATGCAGATGACACAACCTAGCTAGCTAAAAGAGAAGAGGACCAGAAGCATCTATTGATGAAGATTAAAGACCACAGCTTTCACTATGGATTACAACTCAACATAAAGAAAACAAAAATCCTCACAAGTGAACCAATAAGAAACATCATGATAAACGGAAAAAGTTTGAAGTTGTCAACAATTTCATTTCACTTGGATCCTCAAAATATACCCATGGAAACAGCAGTTAAGAAATCAAAAGACTTATTGCAGTGGGCAAATCTGTTACAAAAGACCTCTTTAAAGTGTTGTAAAGCAAAGATATCACTTTAAGGACTAAGGTGGATCTGACCCAATCCATGGTGTTTTCAACATCTCATATGCATACAAAAGCTGGACAATGAATAAGGAATTCTGAAGAAGAATTGATGCCTTTGAATTGTGGTGTTGGTGAAGAATATTGAATATACCATAGACTGCCTGAAGAATGAACAAATCTTTCTTGAAAGAAATACAGCCAGAACCCTCTTTAGAAGAGAAGATGGCAAGACTGTGTCTCACATATTTAGGTTATGTTATCAGGAGGGACCACTCCAGGGAGAAAGACATCATAGTAGGTACAGTAGAGGGTCATTGAAAAAGAGGAAAACCCTCAATGAGTTGGATTGACACAGAGGCTTGAACAATGGTCTGAAGCATAATAACAATTGTGAAAAAGGCACAGGACCAGATGGTGTTTTGTTCTCTTGTACTATCAGTGCAAACTAACTTGATTGCACCTCACAACAACAACATACCTGTGGTTATAATTCAATGTGGGTATAATATTCTTTGTTATGTTAATGAGGCAGTGTTAATGTAGGGTGTGTCTTAAATCAGTCTCTTTTGAGATATAAAAGGAGCGGAGTAAGAAATCAGAGATGGGGGAAAATAGATGCCAAACCACATGAAGATCACCAAAGAGCCAAGAAATAGAATCTGAAAAGAAACAAGAACCTTCCCCCAGAGCCAACAGAGACAGAGCATTCCCCTAGAGATTTCACCCTGAATTAGGACTTCTAGCTTCCTAAACTGTGAGAAAACAAATTTCTGTTTGCTAAAGCCACCCACTTGTGATATTTCTGTTACAGCAGAACTACATAACTAAGAGAGTAAGCGATTAGTAAATTTATAACAATTTGACTGAATGAATGACTAATCTTCAAATTCTCTCTTAATATAATTTTTTAATTCTATGTGTACCTTCTTACCAGCCATTTCAAGAGAACATTCATAACATCAAGGAAGGACCATTCTTGGACAGATGTGTGGGCATGATGGAATGCTTTATTTAGATACTGTTTTCAGGCATGGAAAGAAGGTGAGGTTAACTAGTGGCTAATGGGTCATGGAGGGGTACAGGTAGGCCTAGGGAGGTGACTAATTGTCAGCGATGGTTTGCTGAATCCAGCTCAAGTAGTTGCAGACATTAGTGTAGACTCCGGGTTTGCCTTCCAGAGGACAGCCATAGCCCCAGGAGATGATGCCCTGAAGCTCTCCGTCGCAGACCATGGGACTGCCAGAGTCACCCTGAGCAAGAATGAAAAGACACTCAGGACTCTTACCTGGGCCCAGATGGGAAAATGGCTCAGAACAGCCAATCCTTAGTGTAGAGTCATCTTCCCAGGCTGCCATCCTCAAAGAAGCACCTTCTCTTCTTCTGGAAATCCAACCCTCAGTGTCCATGCTCCACCCCCTTCTTCCTCCTCCCCCAGTCTTGCTCCATCTCTTTCCACAACTGAAGTCCTGGGGGGCCAAGAAAAGTGAGGAGTGGGGAGATTTAATGTCACTCAGCTATCTCTACTCCTCCCACAAGAGCTTCTTTCCAAAGTATAGTTCTGCAAAATTCACCCTGACATGCTGTTTGCACACGATCTTCTGTATATCTTTAGGGTTAATAGTTGTCTTCACAAAAAATAAAATCTATACTTCTCCTATAATTATCCCTCACCCCTCATTATCAGTTGCACAGTTCTGTAATTCTTCCTATATCTATCCCTCACCCTAATAATCAATCCTATGTGTTCCAGAAAAAGGGAAATACGATGGAACAGAGTGAGACTGAGCTGGGGGGAGAAGGAAGGCAGAGAAACGAACCTGGTAAGAGTCGTTGTCACCCTCCAGGAAGCCCAGACAAATCATTTTTCTGGTGATCTTGCCTCAATAGGCATTGCAGCAGACACTGTCAGAGAGGATGGGGGCGTTCAGACACTGCAAGAGCTCTGGGTAGTTGGCTATTGGGGGCAAGAGTGGAAACAGAAGGATATTACCCACATGATTCCTAGAATTTCCTTCCCAATATCCTCCCCCTTCTTCCCAGCACTCCCACTCTTACTTTCAGATTGCCAATGGCTTCTAGTTCAGGAGAACAACACTGTTCTGGAAGGTTCTAAGCAACAAGCTGTTCTCTCTTTGATGTGAGCCTCAGTGAGCACAGGCCTAATGTCTAAAGTCTTTATTCTCAAGCTGGTCTACATTGTAGGCAGTAGCCAATCCCATAGCCTCTGTTCTGTTTACTTCCCCAGTGCCTAGTTCTCTCAACATCACTAATCACCCTTCAGTTGAATACCTTGTCATCTTTATCGTGGTTCATTTTTGCTGTGTCTTCTGCATGGTCCCAGAAAAGAAATCTTCCTCATTTCCATTAATAAGTTTGAAGTCCCCATATACCCCAAAAGTGTCCTCTGGGAACCTTGTGTTGAGTGGCAGCTTGGACTAAGGACTCCTTAGAGTGCCTGCCCCCTGAAAACTCTCAGAGTGGACACTTTAGTTCCTGGGACACTTACGGCTACTGCTTTGGGTGTTGCCCCAGCCAGAGATGAGGCACTGGGTGCCAGCAGTGGCACAGGACTTTGGCAGAGACATCGTGGACATGTAAGAGTTGACGGTTGTGGGAGAGCTCAGTTTAATCAGCATGATGTCATTATCATATCTGACTGACTTGCACTTGGGGTGGGGGATGACCTTGGTCGAGTTAATGAACTGCTTATTGCCCTCAAGGACCTCAATGTTGTGTTCTCCCTGGCGCACCTGGATTTCACTGGCTTAAAGGATTAAAAGGTTCCTAAGTATCCAACTTAAGTTCCTCCTACTTCTCAACCACCCCAGTCATGAGCATAAACACAGACAGCAGCTCCTTTGAGTGTTCACTTGAACAGATGATTGTGTACTCAAGGTAGACCAATGGGACACAGTGAAGTAGATTAGTCCCAAGGTAAGTGTCACCACAAGCACAAACTCATGACTTCCATCTTGTTAGACTTGACAGGTATAGAAACGTGATACAAATGACCCAGACAAAAGAGTAGGAAAGGAAAGCACCAGCCCTTCCTCCTCTGTTGGATTACTGATTATTGTAGGAAGATGAGGCAGGAGTCAGAGGTGAGACAAAATATTAAGGGGAGATAATGAGTCATGCTTATTTTTAATGTTATAATGGAAATTTCATGTACTTTATTTCCTCAACATGCCATTTTTTTGGCTAAGCTATAATAACTAGGACTCCTTCCTGATTTATAGTCCCCAACTCTTTCTAAGGATACTTCCCCACCTCACACTCCCCTCTACACACGGCCATGTCATGAATCCAATCATTTAGGAGGACATCAAGGAAACTCTGAAGGTCCGTCTCCTTGGAGAGGACCCTTCCCACACCATACAACACCTGGGGGAACAAGGAGGCTCTTTGAAACTGAAGGCTTCACCCATCAAGTCTGACACTGTAGGGCCCCCTGGCTTTGGCAAGGCTGGGGAATGCATAGATCTTCAAACACAGGGACAAGATTTCGGCACTTACGGCTTGTAGCAGTGAGCTGTGGACACTACCCACTGGTCACTGATGAGGGAGTCACCATAGAAGGGATAGCCCAAGTTCAGGGACACCTGGTAGGGGAGGGAATTCTGACAGTATTCGCCCCCAACCATCTTGTCATCATCATCAGTGGTGAAAGCAACTGACAGGGAGAAAGTTGGGAACAATCTGTTAGGCAAATCCTTCTTGGAATTTCTATTCCACCATGAAGTTCTTGAAAAGTAGTGAGAAAAAAGCAGTCAATGTTCTTTTGTCCCACATAACAAGGAAATGATGATTTTCACGTAATTTGTCTCAAAATCTTATCATTACATATCTTTAACATGCACCCTAATTATACTATTATGATAAAATCAAAAACTCATTGCCATCTAGTCAATTCTGACTCCTAGGGAGCCTATAGGACAGGGTAGAACCGCTCCATAGGGTTTCCAAGGAGTAGCTGGTGGATTCAAACTGCCAACACTTGGTTAGCAGCCAAATGCTTAACCACTGAGCTACCAGGGCCCCACCATTATGATATAAGTATTTTATTTTCAATTTGTGCTTTAACTTTGTTAAATAAGTTGATCTTCACATGTGTACCATACACACACACAAACCACAGACACACTTGTGCACACACACACACACACACACACACACACACACACACGCAGATCAGAGGCATCTTACACCACTACCTGAGGGTATAAAGAACACTTTTTTTCCCAGAGCCCTGCTTAGCAGCCCTGCAAACAGGTCTTCAATAAAGCTTTGCATTATCATGAAGTGTTTGTTTTTGGTGGTTAGTGTATGATCTCCCCATAAGATATGGATAAGGAGGGGCTCAGAAGCTACTAAGAAAATTCTGACCCGGACGGAAAAGGGAGTTTTGTATTTTTGTCCCCCAAATTTCTCTTCTTGTATTTAGCCTGAAGATTTCACAAAGTCATTTCACAGAACAGTATCAGGTCTCTCTCGACAGCCTTTCCCCCTATTCTAATTATCTTTACAACATTCTTCAATTAATTTAGCATGTGAAGCTTAGTCCACTAATTCAGCAAAGTTTCCTGCAATTCCAAAAAGTATGTGATTATTTATATGAACCCTACTATACAAGTATTTTTAAATAATTTTAAGGAAGAAGTTCCCAGGTGTCTAGACAGATGTACTGGCATTATGCCTACCAAAATTGGGAAAATTTAGCATTCAATTTTCATAGTATAAAATTGAGTAATCTAAAATAGAAAAAAGAACATGCTGGACATTTTTCAAGTTGAAAGAAATGAAGAAAAAATTCAAGCCTCGAGTTGCAATATTGAAGGATTCTATGGGGAAAATGTCAAAACAATGGAAGTATCAAAAGCAGATGGAAGAAATACACACTCACTATACCCAAAGAACTGGTGCACTTTCAACCATTTCAGGAGGTAGCATATGATAAGGAACCAAAAGTACTGAAGGAAGAGATGCAAGCTGCACTGAAGGCATTTGCAAAAATCAAGGCGCCAGGAATTGATGGCATACCAATGAAGATATTTCCACAAATGAATGTAGCGCTGGAAGTGCTCACTCGTCCATGCCAAGAACTTTGGAAGACAGCTACCTGGCCAATCGACTGGAAGAGATCCATATTTAAGCCTATTCCCAAGAAAGGTGATGCAAACGTATGTGGAAATTACAGAACAATATCATTAATATCACACACAATTAAAATTTTGCTGAAGATCATTCAAAAGCAGTGGCAGCAGTACATCGACAGGGAATTGCCAGAAGTTCAAGCCAGATTCAGAAAAGGACATGGAACCAGGATATCTTCGGTAATGTCAGATGGATCCTGGCTGAAAGCAGAGAATACCAGAAAGATGTTTACCTGTGTTTTATTGAGTATGCAAAGGCATTCGATTCTGTGGATCATAACAAATTATGGATAACGTTGTAAAGAATGGGAATTGCAGAACACTTAACTGTGCTCATAAGGAACCTCTACATAGATCAAGAGGCAGTAGTTCAACAGAACAAAGGGATATTGCATGGTTTAAAGTCAGGAAAGATGTGTGTCAGGGTTGTATCCTTTCATCATACTTATTCAATCTGTATGGTGAGCAAATAATCAGAAAATCTAGACTATATGAAGAAGAATGGGAGGGCATCAGGATTGGAGGAAGACTCATTAACAACCTGCCTAATGCAGATGACACAACCATGCTTGCTGAAAGTGAAGAGAACTTGAAACACTTACTGATGAAGATCAAAGACTACAGCCTTCAGTATGGATTATACCTCAACATACAGAAAACAAAAATCACAACAAATGGACCAATGAGCAACATCATGATAAACAGAGAAAAGATTGGAGTTGTTAAGGATTTCCTTTTACTTGGATCCACAATCGACACCCATGGAAGCAGCAGTCAAGAAATCAAAAAGACACATATGCACTGGGAAAGTCTATCTGCACAAGACCCCTTTTAAGTGTTAAAAAGGAAAGATGTCACCTTGAGGACTAAGGTGTGCATGACCCAAGTCATGGTGTTTCTAATCACCTCATATGCATGTGAAACCTGGATGATGCATAAGGAAGACCAAAGAAGAATTGATGTCTTTGAACTATGGTGTTGGTGAAGAATATTAAATATACCATAGACTGCCAAAGAACAAACAAATCTGTCCTGGAAGCAGTACAACTAGAATATTCCTTAGAAGCAAGAAAGGTGAGACTATGTCTCACATACTTTGGACATTTTATCAGGAGAAATCAGTCTCTGGAGAAGGACATCATGCTTGGTAAAGTAGAAGGTTAGCAAAGAAGAGGAAGACCCTCAAAAAGATGGATTGTCAAAAGCTGCGACAATGGGCTCAAGCATAACAACAATTTTGAGGATGGCGCAGGACCAGGCAGTATTTCATTCTCTTTACATGTAATTTCTATGAGTTGGAACCCACTTGATGGCACCTAATAATAACAACAGCAACAAAATATAAATAGCCATTTCCCTATTTTTTTCATTATTGAAAAAACATATTATTTTACACCAGAGAGACTTCATTGGCAAATATAAACAGAAGCCATAGCTTTTATTCACGAGAAATAAAATGTCTCTGCCTCCTAAGATCCCTTCAATCTAGTCCTTTACAGAGAGACCTGGACTTTGACACTAATAGACTCTTCAAGGAGCACAAGACTAATCTCAATTATTTATGCAAACAGTTAAGCACTAGACTACTAACTGAAAGTTTGACAGTTCAATTCCACCCAGAGGCACCTGGTGATCTACTTCCAAAAAAACAGCCATTGAAAACCCTATGGAGCACATTCTACTCTTACACACATTGGTGTGCCATAATCAGACTTGACTCAACAGCAAACATATATATTTACAAGCACCAAAGAATTAGAATTGTCAAGACAGACACTTCCTTGATGTGGACTACCTTCCCTTGCCTCTCCTTCTTCATAGCTTGTACCTATCCTTTGAAGTTTAAAGCGAGTCCTACCTCTTTATGCTTCCACCCTGGTCCCTCCTGCTCACCATGATTTTCCTGACCTGCAGCACTTGCACCCAACAAGTGAGATTTAAGTACCTATAAGATTACGTATTGTACACTGCTGTTCCAACATACTAGGCTTGTTGACTACAAAGACTATGTTTAACACTCATTGTTGTCTTCCAGAGCGCAAAGTTAAACACGTGATATACACTTGTGATAGACACCTACTGATTCATTACAAGAGACTTACCAGCAGCTCCCTGGAGAGCAAGGAAGATGAAGACCTTCATGGTTGCTCAGTGGGGAGTAGGATGAAGGAATTTCCTCCACAGTTATTTATACTTCCAGACTGGTCATTAGCAACCAGGGTCACGGGCCCTGGAAACATGATATCACTGAAAACTCAAAAACCCAAATTTAGAAATCAAATATTTGTCAGGTGGAGAATAATTCAGCATCACAGATAATCATCTGCACTTGTCCACTTTTCCAGAAGTTTATGGGAATGGAAGTAATGAGCCCACCTGTTGCAAACTGTTCCTCACAAGAGGAAAGTAAGTTGGAGTAAGGCCGCAGGACACAGTTACAGATGTCCTGATTCCCAAACAAAAGTCTTAGGTACTTGGCTGTCCTGGCTGTGAAGGCCCATCTGAAGCACTATTTCTATCCTTGCACTCTTGATATATAATTAATACTGGCTCTTTGACTATTTTAATACTTAGTCTTGTGGTAATTCAGGTCTTGTGTATCCATGTGAACTTGTCATTATCCATAAAAACAACTTGTTACCACGAGAAAAAGAAAAATGTTCTGATCAGAAAGTAAAACAGATCAAAAGTGGAGAGTAAAAAATTATAATACCCATTGCTGTCGAGTAGATTCCAACTCATAGTGACCCTATAGGACACAATAGAACTGCCCCATAGGGTTTCTAAGGAGTAGCTGGTGGATTCCAACTGCTGACCTTTTGGTTAGTAACCAAGCTTTTAACCACTTTAGCACCAGGGCTCCAAAAATTATAATAACTTGCATTTTCTAGAGCTTATTATGTGTAAGGGATATTCTAAGTCCTTTGTCTATATTACTTAGTAATCCTCCTAAGGACCCTTCAAGCCTGTTGCCATCGAGTCAGCTCCAGCTTAAGGCAATCTCATGTGTGTCAGAGCAGAACTGCGACACACAGAGTTTTCCATGACTGATTTTCAGAAATAGATTGCTAGCCTTTCTTCCAAGATACCTCTGGGTAGATTTGAAACACCAGCCTTTTGGTTAGTAGCCAAGTGCTTAACTGTTTTAGCCACCAAAGGACTACAAGCCTACAAGATACCTAACAGTATCCTCATTTTACAGATAATAAAACTGAGCACAGAAAACCATACAGCATTTAGCCAAAATCACACAGCAAGTACACAGTATGGTCAGGATTGCCACCCAGGAAATCTGACTTTGAGTCTGTGCTCCTAATCCTATGCATCACTGCCCTAGTCAATTCGCCAACGTCTGGTGACCAAAGTCATACAGAATTCTTGAATAAAGATGATAATATGTGAAACATATATATAGTGTGTTTTCTATGTCAGACACTGTGCTAAGTGGTTTACATGCGTCACCTCATTCCATCCTCACAACAACCCTATAAGCGTTGTGCCTTTCTTCTCACCATTTTAAGGATGGGGCGGGTGAGGGTTAAAGAAGTCAAGAGTTTTGCTTACAGTTTCATAGCTTGAAAACGACTGTTTCCTGAGAGGTTTGGAAATTCCATAGATTACTTTGGATACGAGTAGAAAGTGATTAGAACGAGCTATTCAGAGTAAACGAATATCTATAAGCTAAAGACTTTTGGGTTTGTATACTGTGATGGTTAAGGTTGTGTCAACTTGGCTAGGCCGTGATTCTCAGTGGTTTGGCAGATATTATGTAATCATCCTTCTGTTGGGATGTGATGTGAGAAGACAATCAGTTGAAAGGGGAATTTCTTTGGGGGTGTAGCCTGCATATATGGATGTTCTGGCAAAGCTTGCCCTTTCTTAATTCTGCATCCAAGTCATCATCCTCTGACCTCTGTTTTTGGGATGTGACTCAGCAGCCTACTGCTTGACTGTCAATTTTGCATCAACCCCTGCAACGACATGAGTCAGGAGAAGCCCACAGTCTGATGCCTGACCCACAGATTTGGGACTTACTAGCCTACACAACTGCATGAGCAATTTCTTTGAAATACATCTCTCTGTATCTATATATAGGTTCTCTAGTGGAGCAAAAACAGGGAAGCGTCACTGGTTTTGCTCCACTAGAGAACCCAGCCTAAGTCATATTGCTTCAGTGAGACTGACATTCTCGGTTGACTTTTAAAAGTAAGGTTAAAATAATACAAAGATTGTAAATATCTTCATTTTTAAAGGCTTTTAAAAATGTAACTTCAATACTAAAGTTACTTATAACTGAATGGCTCCTTAATGATATGATTGCATTTATACATCTTTTTGTACTTATGTGCATATTTTATAGGATACATTTCTAAAGGTTAAGTTGTTGGGTCAAGGAGTCTACAAAATTTCCATTTTTAAAAGTAACTCAGAAATTGTGAAGAGTTGGTCTTTAAACAAAGTAAGAAACAGAAAATAATAACTGTACTCAAAAGGGGTTGTTGGAGGACATCAAGAACACATGATTTGTTTGCCCTTTTCTCACTTTTCTCCTGGTCCCTCAGATTTATAGATCTCAGTTACTTTGTTAGGTATCCGAGTCTTCCAACTACCTGAAGTGGCAAGGTGAGTAGGTATGTGTATCGGTGGTGGTGAAGGTTGTTTTTTTTTTTAGGTATGGCTAAGTCAGTTCCGACTCATATCAACCCTATGTACAACAGAACGAAACCCTGCCCAGTCCTCTGCCATGCTCCTAACTGTTGTTATGCTTGAGCCCATTGTTGCAGCCACTGTGTCAGTTCATCTCCTTGAGTGTCTTGCTCTTTTTTGCTAACCCTCTGTCAAGCATGATGTCCTCTCCAGGGGCTGATCCCTCCTGATAACATGTCCAAAGTAGTTGAGAAGTAATCTCTCATCCTTGCTTCTAAGGAGCATTCTGACTGTACTTCTTCCAAGACAGATTTCTTCATTCTTTTGACAGATTTGTTCTTCCAAGACAGATTCGTTCGTTCTTTTGACAGTATACTCAATACTCTTCACCAACACCATAATTCAAAGGCATCAATTCTTCTTAGGTCTTCTGTATTCTTTGTCCAGACTTGGCATGCACATGAGGTGACTGCAATGCATCTTTTGATTTCTTGACTGCTGCTTCCATGGGTGTTGGATTGTGGATCCAAGTAAAATGAAATCCTTGACAACTTCAATCTTTTCTCTGTTTATCATGATGTTGTTTATTGGCCCATTTGCTGTGATTTTTGTTTTCTGCATGTTGAGATGTAATCCATACTGAAGGCTGTAGTCTTTGATCTTCATCAGTAAGTGTTTCAAGTTCTTTTCATTTTCAGCAAGCAAGGTTGTGTCATCTGCATAAGGCAGGTTGTTAATGAATCTTCCTCCAATCCTGATGCCCTTCATTCTTCCTCACATAATCTGGTTTCTCAGATTATTTGCTCAGCATACAGATTGAGTAAGAATGGTGAAAGGATACAACCCTGATGCACACCTTCTATGATTTTAAACCACGGAGTATAACCTTGTTGTGTTTGAATGACTGCCTCTTGATCTATGTACATGTTCCTCATGATTACAGTTAAGTGTTCTGGGATTTCCATTCTTTGCAATGTTATCCATAATTTGTTATGATCTACACAGTTGAATGCCTTTCTAGTATTCTCTGCTTTCTTCCAGAATCTATCTGACATCAACAATGAGATCTCTGGTTCCATGTCCTCTTCTGAAACTGGCTTGAATTTCTGGCAGTTTCCTGTAGATATACTGCTGCAGCCACTCTGGAATGACCTTCAGCAAAATTTTACTTCTGTGTGATATTAATGATATTGTTTGATAATTTCTGCATTAGGTTGCCTCACATTTCTTTGGAATAGTCATATATACAGATCTCTTCCAGTCGATTGGCAAGTCTTCCATAATGTTGGCAGACAAGTTCCAGCGCTGCATCCGTTTGTTGCAACATCGCAATTGGTATTCAGTCAATTCCTGGAGACTTGTTTTTCACCAATGCCTTCAGTGCAGGTTGGACTTCTTCCTTCAGTACCATCGGTTTCTAATCATATGTTACCTCCTGAAATGGTTAAATGTCGACCAGTTCTTTTCGGTAGAGTGACTCTGTGTATTCCTTCCATCTTCTTTTGTTGCTTCCCGGGTTGGTTAATATTTTCCCCATAGAATCCTTTAATATTGCAACTCTAAGCTTGAATTTTTTCTTCAGTTCTTTCATCTTAAAAAATGCCAAGCATGTTCTTTCCTTTTGGTTTCTAACTCCAGGACTTTGCACATGTCATTATAATACTTTATTTTGTCTTCTCAAGCCAACTTTTGAAATCTTCTGTTCAGCTCTTTTATTTCATCATTTCTTCTGTTTGCTTTAACTACTTCAGGTTCAAGAATAAGTTTTAGAGTCTCCTCTGACATCCATTTGGGTCCCTTCTTTCTTTCTTTCTTGTCTTTTATTCATTTATTTTATTGTACTTTAGAGGAGAGTTTACAGAACAAACTAGCTTCTCATTAAAAAGTTAGTACATATATTGTCTTATGACATTGGTTAACAACTCCATGACATGTCAGTACTCTCCCTTTTCGACCTTGGGTTCCCTATTACCAGCTTTCCTGTCCGCTCCTGCCTTCTAGTCCTTGCCTCTGGGTTGGAGTGCTCCTTTAGTCTCATTTTGTCCTATGGTTCTGTCTAATATTTGGCTAAAAGGTGAACCTTTGGAGTGACTTCGTTACTGAGCTAAAAGGGTATCTGGGAGCCACACTCGCGGGGTTTCTCCAGTCTCTGTCAGGCACTAAGTCTGGTCTTTTTTAGAGTTAGAATTTTACTCTACATTTTTCTCCAGCTCTGGTCCAAGACCCTCTATTGTGATCCCTTTCAGAACAGTCAATGGTAGTAGCCAGGCACCATCTAGTTGTAGTGAACTCTTTCTGGTGTAGGGTGTGGTAATTGTGGTCTGTTAGTCCTTTGGACCAATCTTTCCCTTGTGTCTTTAGTTTTTTTCATTTTCCCTTGCTCCTGAAGGGATGAGACCAGTAGAATATCTTAGATGGCCACCCACAGGCTTTTAAGACCTCAAACGCTACTCACCAGAGTGTAGAATATTTTCTGTATAAACTATGCTATGCCA